TAATCCATCCTCTTTAAAAAAAAGTTTTATTAAGGAAAATTTTTAAAATACAGTAAAATATAGAATAGTATAATGAACTCACATGCACCTATCACCAGCTTCAAATATTATCAATTCATGGCCAGTCTTTTTATCTAATTTCCCCACCCACTTCATTTCCACTCCCACTGGATTACTTTGAAGCAAGCCCAGAAATCATATGATTTCATCAGTAAATATTTCACTGAACGTCTCTAAAAGGTTGAGATATCTTAACTTATTCCTTAATTTGTCTCAACCTCATGAAATGATAAGTCTTTAGGATACCAAAGGCATTAGAATGAGTGAAATATTAACCTTTCCTTTCTCTATCTCATACCCTGCATACAAATCTCCTGGATCAAGACTAGAAATTATTTCTAAAGTAAGTATGTGGTATCTTAAAATGTAATAAACCAATTAGTTTTGGACACTTATCATTTGTCAGACATTATACTAAGAACACTAACATACTCTATCTTCTTGAGACTCTCAGAAAGATTAATATCAAAATCATCTTGGAAGATAACAGTGTTGAAGATGTCACAGAATTAGCAAAGCATAAAAAGAACTCCCAGGACTCTGACAGGACATTGCTTTTTTCTGTTAATGCCCTCTTCCTTATCAAATCAAATTTCTACAGAAATTATTTCAGGTAAACTTTATATTAACAGAGGTAATTCAAGAAAGAATAAGAGAAAAAGTGAGACCAGCTTACCAGTTGAGAAAAGGCTGATGCTTGTGACAGTTAGGGTTTAAGGTTGAACTTGTCACTCTCATTCTTGTTGCATCCCTTGGTTCAAAGGAGAAGCTTAAATCTGATGGTTGCAAGTCAACTGCTCTGAAAAGTTATCACAGATACAACTCAATAAAATACCCAACATCAGGAAGTCAGAGTAGAAGCAAGACGTGATTTTTATTTTTAATGTGGCATAAAACAGTACTCTCTTTTATTCAGCCTAGATGCTAATTTTTATATCAAAAAAATATTGATTGAAGGAGCTAGTGATTTTGGCCCTCACCCAAGTTTATTCAGGATCTTTCTTAATTAGGTTTGGGTCGGCTGCAATGCCCATGGTCAGAGTTAGGTCTGGCTCCAATCACCACATCATGCTCTCTACTTCATCACTGTCCAAGGAATATAGCAAGGAAATTACTGCTTCTTTGTTTCTCCAACCCATAAGTATGTTTTCCTTCCAGATTTGAAGCATACATGGAACAAATGTGTAAGGAAGACCAAAAGAAGTGTAATGGCTTGACTAGCCTACAACCTGACCGTGATCCCCAGCATGAATAAGGTTCTCTGTGTGAAAAATGAATGGGTAGCATGTGAGATCATGGAAAAGATCTTGGCTTCTTTTGAATGAAAATTTTTCACCAGGCTGATGCACCCAATCAGTCTATGAGTTATTTAAAAGGGAAAAATAATCTCTTTCGCCAACAATACATGATTTCCCAATAATGTATCTATTTTTTAAATAATTACAGTTAAGTCAAGCAACTATTTTAATAGTATCCATACCAATTTTATATACTTTTTGCCAGTCTTTTAAAAAGTCTCTGATCACATAAGGCATCAGTAAATCATGTCACATATTATAGACACCTATGACAAAATGGGTTTTCCTTTATATATAAAATAGTGTGTTAATATTAAAAAATGTAATTTAGTTCCTCTAAAACATTTTCAACTAAATATTTATGAAGAGTTTTTAACTCAAAAAATTCTTAAATAAAACTTCAAAATATATATGTGTAAGATATTCTATTATTAAGACAACTCTAAGAGAAATCAACAAAATGCTAAAGATTTCCTGTATAGTCAATGTTATAGGCACATTGTATAGAAAAATTAAAATATTTTATTAAAGTGGATTTATATCTAATAAGATGAACATTTATATCTAATAAGATGAACACTTATATCTAATAAGATGAGCATAGTGGTTAGATATTTACATAACTTACAAAGTGATCCCCCTGATAAGTCTAATACCCACTGGCTCCATACA